GGAAAGAGAATGCATTTTGCCAGACTCCTTCATGACCCCCCATCATGGGAAGACCTGCCTATAGGATGGTTAAGACGAAAACATGTTTCAGGTGCAATGCTTGGTCTGTAGTAAAGCTGAAAAAAGAAAGATGCTCATTTTCAGATACTTCTCTCTAGAAATGCACAAAACAGAGCAACATCTTTGCTTTCTGAGACCTGATCCAGCTTCCTGACTGTGTTGTGTTCGAGCAAGGGCTGACAAAAGACACGGTATCAACTTTCTATGCCCAGTTCTAGCTCTCCAAGCCTGCAGAGCTGCTTCAAGTGTGAAAACATTTTGCTAGAGCTATAGTAGCTCAGTACAGTGTTGTCATCCAATCTGTGCAGGCACTCACTCTCTGATGTTCTGCAAATATTAAATAATACCCAGCCTAGAGGGGAGCCCCAGGATACTCCAATAGATGTTAGTCTCACAAATTTGAATTAAAAACTGATCTAGGTATCAAGAATGCAATTTGTCCTTTAAAGGTAGAGTCCACAACCAGACTCCAAAGCAGATTTGTCAAATTCAGAGTCCTGATTCAAGGTGGACATAAAGGTCATTCCAACAGCCAAATCCCCCTGCCAAACAGTGAATTCAGTAGGGATATGAGCAGCAGTTACCTGTATGAGCAATGTTTGGGAGGTATAGAAAGAAACCTTCCTTAACATCATGTTCGTCTGATGACACCACCTCAGTGCACAGCACCACTCCAGGGAGCTCTGTGGTGTCTGGAGGTGTGGATGCTTCAGGCAAAAGAGCCCTTGCTCACAGCAGCAGTGGCAAATGGCAGACCAGTGACTGCCCTTCTTCATGCAACTCTACTGCCTCTCATGTTAATGTTTTGCAAAGCTTCGCAGCCTGAACAAGGCCCAAGACCACTAAAAAAATTATAAGGCTCCAGTTTGAATTATTTATGGTATTTATGGGTCAAGGTTCCAAATGGCCTTTTTTGATTACCCTCCCTGCCCCGAGCAAACATGGATTAAGATGATACTTAGTGAACTTCAACCTCACATTGCATATTCACTGAAACAAAAGCTCTGAACAAACAACTGCACCAGTGTTGTGATCAGTCATATTGTCAGCAAACACCATCACTCACTGCCCCTTTTCCCACATAATTTAGGAATTTGTTAAAGGGCACAGATCCTAGTGCAGACCCCTGAAAATCTCCCTGATGACCTTCCTGTATTTAGCCCTATGTTTTTTTTCAACCTTCTATCAAATAACTACCCACGTTAGGTTTCCCCTTTTATCCTGCTGCTTTTGACTTTTCTGTAAGGTCTTTTCAGTGAGGCTTTGTCAAAAGCTGTTGGAAACCCAAATCACATCAAGCAAGTCACCCTTCCCCACATACTATGATAACCTCGTCAAAAAAGCCCCAAGGTGTTTGTAAGGCAGGACCTCCCTTTGCATCCTGAAACTAAACTGGCATTGTTGAAAAGGCCGTATTTATCCTGGGGGCTGTTCTCACCTTTGTTACAGCTCCACCAGCATGTCTGGCACAGCCAGAAGGCTTCTGGACCAAGAGTCCTGTGTTCTGACAGGCTCTCAGAAAAGATTTTTGTTGCTGCTGTGACAGATGGAGGGTTTAGTACTACCTTTGATTATTTCCTTTTTTTTAAACTAGCTGATATTCTAATCCCTTTTTTGACAGCTCAGTTATATTTTTATGCTTAATCTGCAAGAGTTTATGTTCTTGTCTATGTTCTTCACTCAGACACACCTACAGCTTTTTGAATGATGTTTCCTTACCCTCAGCCCTCCCTCCTGTTATCAGTGCCAGCATCTTTCACTTTTTCAGGCCTTTCTGGGCAGGTGGTAGCCCTGCCACTGTGTCCTCAGAGGTCACTTCAGCCATCTCCACCCACCCTTGAGGATTTAATCCTCCTAGCTGTTCCTTGGAACTTCTTTTTAACAAGCTCAGGGTCTCCAAAGCTTGCAAACCATGGGGTCACTCAGCCGTGCCCTGCCTTTATTGCTCCTGCTCATGTGCAGGGCGTGCCGGCAGATAGAGGAAAGCACGTTCTCTCCCAGTTTCCTTTCCTCCCTCCCATGTCCTGATCATTTGCTCAGGAGGGTGCAGGAAGCGTGCCAAATCCACCTGGGCCAAGAGCATCTGCTGACCATCCCTGTAGTCTTGTGAAATCACTTCAGGGACACTGGGCAGCAGTGAGCTCAGGCCCAGCACACATCTGAACTAGGAGCCCGGGAGAAAAGCCAAGCTCCCGTCCCCACCACATCCTGGCTCTGCAGCTGGGCAGCTTCCCCTCTTCTGGAAACACAGGCTCTCAGGCCTCACAGGCCTGTTCAGTGACATGCACAGAGAGAGGATCACGTGGAAGTTTTCATTGTGCAAATACAGGACGACACCAAATCCAATATTCCTGACAAAGTTCATTTTCCCAGCCCTTCCTTCCACCATGACAGATTGATGAATTGTTGTTCAGTACCCTCAAGCCTTCGAGTTTACAGTTTTTCTAGGAACCCTCAAAGCTGAGACTTGTTACATCACCAGTGGCCATATCAGAGCAATCGAGAACGAGCACTGAGGGGCAAGAGAGAGCAAGACCATCTCTGTTAGAGATTGTTGCCCCAGACAGCAATCTGCTACTGGCAGGAGGCAAATAGGGGAGCCAGGCTAAAGCACTGTCCTGTGCTGCCTGATGGAAACACACACACACACATTTCATAGCTACATCTACCCAATAAGTAGGATAACCCATCTGTTATTCTAAGGCTCCCAAGACTAGTTTTAGGGATTTACAATGAGACTTCCCAGCCCATTAGTTTTCCTGGTAAAGACATGTTGCTGCCAAGCTTCCCAACTGAGCTGCTTTTCCTTCCCATTCAAATTGTGGTCCTAGGGGCACTGCCCAGATCTGCCAGCATGTGGTACAGAAATGCCACCAAAGGCTCCTACACCAGCAGCTCCTGGTCCCACACTGGAGGACATAGGCAGCACCCTGGCAGGGGGAAGATCACAGAGTAGTGCATGAAACCAAAGATTGGATAAACACTGCAAGATTCACACCAGCAAAGGGTCATAAAAAACCATGGACATCTGTGCCTTGAGTTTTGGTTGCAGAGCACAGGGTCCATTCTGAAGCAGGGCTGTTGGCAGGTTTTTTGAGCTTCCTGGGCAACCTCAGCCAGAATTTGACAAAGCAGTTAAGGTTTCAAAGAACAGGCTTCTTTCAACTTCCATGAAAACAAGTAGTTTTGTAGGTGAGAAGAATCAGACTATTTTTTCCTTCTAAAGAAATGTTACAACGTGAGCTCAGCTGTCAAGAAGTAAGTCCACAGAAAAAGAACCTGAAGAAATGAGGCTACCTAATTTCTAATCTTCACCAAGGTATTTGGTTTCTTTGCAATTCTGGCAACATGGTAACGATTCTCCATTCTCTACAGTGCTTGAGGGTATGGGAAGGCAGACTTGCTCGTTGTGGCGCTGCTGCCACTGCTGAGACACTGAAGGGAGAAAAGTCCTCCAGCAGCACCAGTCCCAGCAGAACCTGCATTCAGCTGCACTCTCACATCAGCTGTGCCACAGGCAAGGCTGGAGACATATGGGCTAAGTGGGGAATTGCTTTTTTGCAAGTCAGAGAGAGCCTTATGCCGTACAGCCTGCACTGAAACATATAATTAAATGTGGCAAATGACAGTATAAGCTGATTTGTTTAAGTCCATTGCAGAAATTCATTCTTCATGTCCAAATAAATACTTGATCTCTGCAGACAATGCTGGCAGCATTTTGACAAGGCAATTTAAGATGGTGTTTTTCCTACATGAATATTTGCTCAAAAAACAGGAACGTGCACAGCTAATGCACTTGGCTAATATCCTACTTATTTGGAACTAACAAGAGGTGTTTCCATCTCACAGACTGTTCTGTTCCCCCAACACTGCCCTGGTCCTTTGGAGTTTTCCCCAAAGCCATCTGAAGTCCCACACACGCTGGTGAGAGCCCAGGGCAGCATGTCTCATTCTGAAATGCTTTCAAAAAAATTAATTTACATATACTGGTGAGCTTACTAAAAGCTGATGCAGCCCTTTTTGATCTAATTTGTTTTATTTGTTTTAGGTTTGGCCTATTCAAGTTCCCACTGAACGTGAACTAATGTCTTGCTGTGAAGTGTTAAGATTAGTCATTGATTCAATTAACTGCAGGAAAAAGAAACTAAAACAAAAATGCAATTTTTAGCCCCAGGATCCAGCAGTTAAGGTTGAAAGTACCAAGCGTGACAGAAATCCCTTGTTAAAAAGATTATATCTGAATGCAAATTTACTCAAATTTACTTTATTGTTTAATCAAAATAAGGCTAATAAAGGAAGTGTATCTTTGAAACTCCATTTTCAAATGTTTTAAATGTATATTCAAATGTTACATTGCAGTTGCTCCAAACAGCTTCAAACAGCTTCAGAATAATTGCTTCTGCTATATATCCCTTATGCTGGAGAGAACACGAACAGAAAGACTGGTCCATTCTGCCAAAATCCACTGGAAGGAAGTGAGCTGAGGCAATAGAACATCCTTCCTTCCTCTTGCTGGTCATCTGCTCCCACAAAATGCCCTCAGGGCAGATTTTGCATGGATCTGGCTTCTGCCCATTTCAAGAGGATGTCACTAGATGGGAAAGGGTGAAGAGCAACCATTTCTGACCATGGTAGTTGTGAAACACCTGCTGTGTCCCTTCCACCCTTGAGCTCAAGCACTTTACAGGACAAGGATGAAGAGGTGGCAGCAGCAGAGGGGTTGGGGAAAAAACTTGCAGCTGGCAGGAGGTTTTACTTTGCTGGACAGGGTCTCTGTAATTGTTAGTGGGAGAGAAGACAAGCAATCTTACCAAAAGTCCTTACTTTCTGGATATCCACCTCATTACTGGGGTGGATTATGGAGAAACACTATCTTTAGACAATGAACGAGCCTAGGGACGTGATCCCTGTGAGAAGCCATCCTAGGCAGAGACCAGCATCTCATCTTGCATGAAGTCCAGGCCCTTCAGTGTGCAGGAAACTCTGTGAGGGAATAATATAAAAAAAGCGAATTGTCTTTTCTGCAGTGTAATCACACCCTTGCCCACACACTGAGCATTGCAGGGGGTTCTGACAACATTTTTCAGCTGAATATATTGAAAGAAGAGTATTGGGAAAGGAAGAAGAGCAACCAAAGCTGTGTCATCTTCTCAGGCTTATTCTAGATTTTTTTTCTTTTATTTTCTTCATTATTTAATTTTTACCAAAACTCACTGTCTTAACAAGATACCTCTGCTGGCACAAGTCCTAATGCAGATGCAGTTACATAATAAAAATAAAAATAAAATAAAAATAAAAATATAAAATAAAAAAGCCTATTCTATTTGGCAATGTACAAAAGAACTCTGGTGTCTATCAACTGCAAATCATCACCAAGGCTGATGGGCTCTGATTCAAGCCTATAACAAAGGGAAGGGCTAAAGCAGTTTCCTTCAGTGTCAAAACTCATCTTCCTGTTAATGTGCAATAGGTACAAAGTATAACAGACAAAGATTGCTTATTTAATCATCTTCAAACCTGGAATTTTCTCTTTCCAAGTCTGTGACAGGTTGAAGTAGCTCTTCAGTGCTGTTTATTTATTCATTCACGTCCCATTTCATTCTGATCCACCCCTGACAAAACACTTGACGTACTGTTTCACAGTCTTTTTAGGATGACCTAAAGCCAATCTGCCACTGAGCTGAAAAATCCCAGCCTTCTCCTCTCCCTGCCTGCTGCCTCAGTCCATGTCCCTTCTTCAAGTCAGCTCCAACAATTACACAGCTACGCATCTCAAACATCCAACAGCAAAGCCTCACCACTCAGTCACAGCTAGGCAGCTTTCCAATTAGCCAGGCCAGGGGCACTAGGGCACAGTCAGATGTCCCCTGTCAACAAAAAGCCCTGAGGAGTAAGAATCCACCAAATAAAAAAAGCAGATGTCCCAACTTCAGGCACAACTGTTCAAAACTGATGTCCCTGGCACCACAAGCCCTGTGTCATTAAGGTCACATGCCACTTTGGTCTAAGATGGGTCACACCACTTAGTGCCACCAAAAAATCCTTTGTTTTCTGAACCCATCCAATGATGGGTTAGTGTGAAGGGCAGTACCAGGAGTGCCACTGGGGCTGTTCCTTCCCAGCACCTTCATCACATCCTCCTTCTGGCCACATCTATAACTGCCAGGCCACAGCAGGCAGCAAAAGAGGGGATCCCAATGACCCTTTCTTTTTTGATCATTGATTGCTTGGCAGGCACCTTAGGAAAACAACTTGGTTGTTTCTAAAAGACCATGGTGCCCATGGTTAAGGAACAGGGCAAAACCAAAAAGAGATCAGTCCTTTTGCAGGATGCTGCATGGTTTTATCTACTCAGAAACAGAAGGGATGGGAATTCAGAGCAATCATCTTGTGGGGCAGCTGCTTCCCTTTTATGGAATGGAGCACTCACACAGCTCTCACACACCCCTGCTGTGCTCCAGCCAGTCACATACATGATTGTCCCAAAGAGCTGAGATTTTAAAAGTACACTGGCCTTGAATGGAGTCGCTGGCTGATGCTCCACTGGCTCTAGACACGGAGTGGGGGGAAAATTCAATCATCAAGCAATCGGCAGCTCCAGCACAGAGTAAAGTCAGTTGCTATTTCAGGGAAAGGAAAGGCAACTGTTCCCTGGAGGGAATGACTGCACTAGCTCAGTGCCAGGAATAGGCTGAGATTTTGAATTTTTTTTTCCCCTACACTTCAGGAAAAGCGAACACACAATGTTCATTCACAGGGATCGTTTCCTGAGCATGATGTGTGCTCGCTGTCCCGCAGGTCACTTTCCAGTGTGTCACATCCTTC